CACACACACACACACACACACACAGATACACACACACATATACAATGTTTATATAATATATGTATGTATATTTTGGTCCCCATGATCCCTAAACTTACCGAGTGTGGTAAAGGTCCTTTCTTCCGAGCAGTGACGATTTCTGAAAAAGTCCTGGACACAAACCAGTCGAACTCCCGCTGCGAGGGATAGTACGTCAGGACCAGGTCAGGTCGGTTAATCATGTTGTTCTTCAGAGCATAGGTGATCAGCGACGTAGTGTTTAAGTATATTTGCTGACGAAGGAAAGGGAGATGGAATTATTGTAAATGCTCTATGTCCCCATCGTCAAAATTTGGAACATTATAATGATTGTGTTGGGCAGCATCGTTGTGAAATCAGGCGCTCGTCAAGATAATGAAATCGAAGAAACCAACATTTCCAGCAAGGTAGGCAATTTTTATCGTTCTCTTTATTTATTTATTTGGGGGGGGGGGAGTTGGGTGCTCAACATCGTTTGTGTCCATTTTAAAACATTTCTATGTCATATAGATCCTATTTCTAAAGAGCTTGATGAAAGGCACAAAGACTACAAATCTACAGTTTCCAGTAGGACACCTAAGCTTTTGAAGTCACCAATCTTTGGCAGTCAGTTTCCTGCTAATTTTACTTCTGGCATCACTTCATTTACAAATATCTAGACTTCTAAAAAAGATAAATGTGTATGTATTTTTTTCATTAGAAGCGAGATAAATAAACAAGATTTAAGGTGTCACCAGTTACTCCAAATACTTAAAAACTGACGAGCATCTGATTCCACCAAGTGTCGTGACACATTTAGAAGCGGGCAGCTTCTACCCCATCTGTCGCAGTAGACCTTGACCAAATGGGGCGCAGCATCCCAACACACGGTACGCAATAAAAATGTCGTTTCCACAAGAGAATCGAGCTTACGTCTTCCGGTTACACAGTTTGAGAGCCTAACCAATACACCCCAGACACCGGTAGTCCGAGATAGAAAACGAACCTTTAATAATATTATGGTTAGTGGCTATCCATTTGTTAAAAAGAGGACAAATTTGAAAACACAATACATCGGTCATCTTTTCACCAATTTTTTACAAAACCAGGCGGCACAAATAAAAGTCAACTAAGGAGTCGTTACATGTGTCAATATGAAAAAATTGACTGATTAAGAAACATCAAGTTTTAGTTTAAATTTGTTCAACGATAAATGAGTACACAAAAAAAGGATAATTTAAAATTATGATTAAAGATTAAACCTACTGTGTATTTATACATTAACGAATAAATTTATATAAAGCAGACAATGTGAAATAAACTAAGGGGAGGTGGTGGCTATTAAAATTATTATTCTCCAGGTGTTGACCATTTTTCCCCAGACAAGCTTGAGTATGTTGCTGGAAATGTTTAATAACTATGTGACGTTTCTCTGTCGTTTTAGTGGACCTCCTGTTCAACATTGAGTCTGTGGGTTGTTTCAATAGACTGCCTTTATACCGCCCCAAAGGAAAACATTGCACTTTGAATTGGTCCTCTTTATAGTCACCATGTCTATGGTACACACTTTAACGTACACGCACGAACGTGCACAATCAGGCACACACCGAGAAGGATAGGAGGAAAAAAGAGCAATAAAGGGAGAGCTAGAAAGAGAGAGTTAAAGAGAGGGAGAGAGGGAGAGAGAGGGAGAGAGAGAGAGAGAATTAGAGACAATCCCACCCACAAACACACACACATACACACACACACACACACACACACACACACACACACACACACACACACACACACACACATAACATACACACGCGTTCGGAATCGAGAATGGAATTTAATTTTTTTTTAATGACTGGAATTTGAAAAAGGACAGGAGAGGGGGTAGTCGGAGAGTTTGGGAGGATGGCTGCCGTAAGCTGACAAAACGCCTTTTAAAATTTCTCAACAGTTTCGAGAAAAAGACTTTTGTGTGTGTGTGGTCAGCGTAACCATTGAAAAATAGTGTCATTCTGAAATTTGAATTCTAGTATATTCAAGAACTAGTTACAGTTTCAACTTGTTTTGTTTTGTTTTTTTCACACGAGAATGGTAACTGGTCAGACTTTTGATTTAGCAAATACAATTTAAAAAATTGACGCCAAAATGAAATAAAAGGCGTTTGTCAGCTTACGGCAGATGGG